ACGAGATTCACGCTACAGTATCCCAGTTTTGTACTAAGAGTCCTTCGAAAGCCCCCTCCTAGGCGGCAGTACAGACATATCCTATGTTTGCGTATGCTTATAGGCGTATGTTTTTCTGATAAACTCGAAAAAATGAAACATTAACAGTTTGTAAACTGACCATTTTTACATTTCGAAGGTTACTATTGATACATTCCTGAGGGTTACGAAATTAAAATCAAAAAACAAACTGCAAAAAGCGTTTTTCCCAGTTAAAATTTTCATGGTCAAAGGGTTTTGGGAAAAACCTCAAAATTTCCCATTAGTCTTGGATATATAATGGCTTTCAGGAAAGTGACCAAGCTGTTCATTAGCGAATCAGTCGACCGAGTATTCGATAATTTATACAATGCGCTACGATGTTACTTCTCGAAAAAGGATTCTGAGAAGGTAATCATATATTTTAATCAACTGTTGAAGTCACCGCTGAGATAATTCTAAATTAGTAACTTTTGGTGAATGCTGCCAGGAGGACCGTATTGTTGCGATGAGCAGATACCAGCTAATGCAATCTAGCAAGTTGACTCGAAAGTCCGGCACATTCGCATTGGATGATTGGGTTGCTGGTGCAAATGCCGCGTACGCTACCTCACTTAGAAAGTTTGTCACGCACTTTGCCCCGCACACCCCCTCTACCTATCCCTATGGTGATGCACAGATTTTCACAATTTTGAGCGGCTTTTTCAGAAAGCGCTGAAGTAGCAATCAGCGGTGGTGATAACAGCGGTGGATTATAACAACCTTCCCGTTAGGCAGCGTTCAGATGAAGCGCGTCGACGCGCGACGACGCGCTACAGTTGAAAAAGCGCTCCAATCCTAAAGATGCGAAAGCTGCCGCAGACGGGAAGTGGTTGTTGCAGGTGCTTTGAGAAAGTATAGGATAACAGGAATGCGGGCGCTGCCTTTACAATATCTCATACCGATCAATAGCAGACTAGGTGATAGGCGAAGCGTACCCTCCTGCTCCCCACACTCTCTCAGTGGCGCAAGGCGCGGCCGGGTCCGATCGATTCCCGTTTGCTGTGCGGCTGCGCTCGCGTTGATTGGAACGCAGGTGGATAGCGCGTCGATGCGCATCACCGTGAGGTCTAAAGCCTCAAACGTATAAAGTCCATTTAGAATCGTAGTGTCATGGGCGGCTAAGGAAGGTTCAGCTTGGTGTGGGCGGGGCTGCACGGAAGTTTGGCTGCCCAGACCGATGCATAGCGGCGAGCACTTCGCACTACATTCGGCCTCCGCCGTGTTGCATGAGCCAACTACAATTCACTAAATGAATCCTAGCGACCCACTTGGAAGGGGCAATCAAAAATTATCCTCGCTTGCATTCATTAAGGTTTGTGTAGACGCAGTTGGCAGGCCTTCATATTTGTCACGAGGGCTACTGTAGCCGCGGCAAACTTGTTCAGGCACACGAAAAATCGAATTCGGCGATTTCTCATAGATTCTCGCAGTTACCAGTTATGAATTGCATAAAGTACACATTTTTAGTTTCAGTGACGCACATTCACCGAACTGATACTGATGTCTGAATAGGCATACCTAAGTCAGTTTCGGCGACGGGGGGCATTTTGCACATTATGCCTTCCCGTTGACTTGTTGACCCCTCTAGAGAGCTATTTCGTAAGCTTACAAGAGTAGACAGGTTTCACCATGGTGGCTGGGCGAGCTTGCTCCAGCTTCACAAGAGTTCCAGGTTCTTCAGGTGAGACTTGTTGGAACGCGGAACCTAGTGAGCAGCGCGAAGTGGCAAATATGCCCCAGCCCCCCCCCCCCACTTCGCCCAGTCGCCGAAAACTCGGCCTAAACATTCCTATATGCAGAGTTTGAGGGAGCAGGAGGGCACTGTGCTCATTACGCAGCACCTGGCTCTTGTTGAACAGGGAAACCTTTCGAATAGGCCCACGCCAGAGCGCCTTGGTTTTCTCGCTAGCAATGCGAAGGCAGTTTTTACTGGTGCGTGGCCATAGCGCAGCGGTTTTTTTTTTCTGTTCTGCAGAGAGCTGTCGGCCATTGTTCCTATCACCCTAGCGCTTGTTGTAAGAAGTGGGAACAGGGCATGCCGGGGCCATAAAGAATAATCGGTCGTTCAGCTCCCCACTCTCCTCCCTCATGGGAAACGGTGTGCGAGGGCCAAAAAACTTGGTCGTTCAGCTCCTCCCTTTCCATCTCTGCACTTTTCTTGAGCGTCTTGCGAATCTTCTTTTTTCTAAAGTTCCACGCTGCTTTTCCACTTGGTGCAAACCCCTTCTAAGCGCAAAATGACGCCTTCCATCAGCTATTCATTTCCAATTGTTTGTCCCCTTGCCTTGCCCTTGCCAAGCAGTAAACAAGAGGAATTCAAAGAATTCAGTATGGAACCGAAACATGCAGGAAGAAATTTAATCTGATCTTTCCACGTTTTTGAACGCCTCACGGGTCACACCTATAAATTGCACTATGACCGTAAATGGCAATTACACCCCTAAGTATCATAGATATGGTCGATTACAATTCCTCGAAGGGGGCGGCGCTTCTCAAGAGGAAAAACCAGGTGTCTCGAGAGGGTATAAGACTCCTCTACCGTACGTTGAGTCACGGATATAGAGCAGACGGAGGTTATAGGGGAGAAACATGGCACGCCTTGCCTTCGGGGAGAAATTTTGCCAAAATACGCGCCCGCCGCTGCAAAGCCGCGCCCTTCCCTTCCCACGACTCCCCTTCCCCATGCCCCATCCTATCTCCATCTTCCTTATCTTCTCCCAACTTCCTGCCACTTTTCGAGCTTTTTTCCAGAAGTTCCTCCACCTTTCCGCCGAAAAACCACCGCCGAGTGACGGGGTGGGGGAGAGGATATGTAGAGCAGTTTAGACAGGTGAAACCGGAAAAATCGACAACTGAGAACATTTTTTCCCAAGGTAAATACGATACCTCTCCATCCAGCGACCAAATACGATACTCTCACTGGGAATCCCCAGAGTGCGACCTGGCTCGGGGAGAAACGTTTGGCGCTGATTTGTTGAGAATGCGCCATGCATTCAACTTCATTCAGAATCGCTGGAACTCTTGCGTATTTTTGTTTTGTTTCTGTGCCCTCTAAAATAATGGCCATACCTATGGAGTGACAAAGGGGCTAGGAACCTCGGCGCTGGCAGTAACCCCCTTGCAACATGCTCCTGGAAGAGGGAGAAAGAGGACTCTCCTGGGTACTCTGTCTTTTTCAGATCGCCTCAAACTGGTAAGTGCCTGCAGCACCCTCTAAAAGTAGCCGTGCAAAACGAACCTGCAATTTCCTATCAAACTCCGTTGATTGACTCTCTACTTTTTTGCAAGCACCGGGCGTCGTTGCACTTTCTGCAACTTTTGCAGTTCGCGCTACGTGGTCTTCGGAATGAGAGCGTAAAGATGACCGGTTCTGATTTGAGTGACGAAATTAAGTTTTCGAATGCGGCATTCATGATAAAGGTCACACTGAAGTGATTCACTAAAAAGTATTGACACTGGAGTAATGGATCGGTCTTGGGGTCTTAATAGGGAAATGATAAGAGGTTACAAATGAAATGAACTGAAAGAGTAAAACGTTCAGGAGCCAGATTAATCGAGGAGTAAGTCGCTGAGGTGTGTACGCGGTATCTGCTGCTCTTCCTTTCCCAGAACTGGGAAACTGTTCGCCCTAGAAGTGGAGGCAAAGGGGGGGGGAACATTCGAAGGTTTTTGTGCTGAACTGTCGCTACGCGAGGTAGATGACGATTCTTTTTCTGAGTTCAGGAGAAGGAGCTCCCTGGGTGAGTGGGCCAACCTCTCCAGGTGAAAAGGGGATTTTGCGTTACAGTGATCCCATTTTTACCCGTAGTTTTTCGGAAGACAAACTGTGTCGCGTCACTTTTGTGATTGTGAGCTTTGGCCTTAAGAAAACGTGCGCAGGTGCAAGGTGGCCACTTCGTACGGTGTACGGGGCCGGGTTGTAGCGTAGTGGTACCCTGGTGCCGTCTCCATACCCCACCCGCGCTAGCCTCTTAGCGCAGCAGCACTTGCGTCGATAGCAAGGTCCCTTAGCGAAACGCGCACTTATCTGTGGAGAACAAGCAGGTGAGAGTGCGCAGACAATCAGCGCGTCTGGCTATGGTTGAGCGAGTGGCCGTGCGGCAACGCGGGCAGAGTAGGGGAGCGCGCGCCGAATATCACTACCATTCGTGCCCTACCCCAAATCCCGCACAAAGGGTTCTTAAACTACGAGATTCCGAGACTCGTATCTACGCTATTTGTTGAAGTCTTTGGGCCGCAATTCGAATCTGGTGAGCGGCAACAAAATGCAACATTAGCTAAGCTTATACAGGCACATTGTGATGCCTTGAAGGTGATGCGATCAAATTGACTCAATGGCAGAGAGTTTTCCCAGCTTCACAGGACTACAGGTCTGACCAAAGTGCTACCTGTTAGTTAACATGACAAAAGGAAGTATGGAAAGAGCAAAATGCACCTTCCAAGCGGAGCGCCTGAATTTTGAAAGAATTTTTTAGAACGGCACTTGGTAAAAGATACGAAGAATTAATTGCGAGCCAGGGGTTTAGGACACCGAACTGCCCCAGTTGATTGGGTTAGCGCCGAAATTACTACTATAACTTTCAGCATTACAAGTATATGAAATATTGAGCCAGCTTTGTTACAGGTGCTGAAGAATGTCATCAAATTGGTTGTAAAGATCGGTCTTCTTGCCAGGAATGATATGTTGAGCGAAACAGACATCAAACAATTGGAGAATGTTCAGAAACAACTTCACTCATTAGCACTAACCATCATTTCATTTGTACAGGTATGCATAAATAAGGGCCTGTCCATTCCTGTTCTTCCACGTGGAAACCAGGCAAAAAGCAGAACCACCCAAAAAGAATGGCCCTCTTCATTTTCGCTGGCGTAAATATAGCAGAGCTGAAACGGGAGAATGCCAACTTCTTCGTTCTACTCCAAAATTGAGAGATACGTGGCCGTTGGCGAAGATTCCTACCTACAGACCAAATAAGACCCTGCCATGCCACTGGCTTTTAAGATACGACCCCTACGAAGCCCTCCCCCTCCAAAAAACTTCCTAACGATGCTCGAGCGGTAATATCGATGGAACCATGTATTCCCCCGGGAGGAACTGGATATGAATTGAATGATGGACTGTTTTCCCCTTTTTCGCACTGAGAACTTTGGAGAATCAATGGGACAGAATAAATGGGGGCAGACAGTCCGGCGAGAAGAGGGGGGCATTTTGCACTTTTGCTACTTCCCATCGACTTGTCGACCCATCTAGAGAACCGTTTGAATCACAAGAGTTTGACGGGTTCCCCTTTTTTCCCCCATTGGGGTTGCTGGACAAGTTTGCTTCAGATTAACAAGGGTTTACAGGTCTCACCAGAGTGAGACTTGCAAACCGATGCTAATGAAGCAGCGAAAGTGCAATAACCCTCCTCCGTTGGCGAAACGGCGCCGAAAATATATTTTGGATTGGGCAGATTCGCAGGAATGAATTGTTTCCTTACTAGGTACCTTCTATCAGGGCACACTGTACGTTGGCCATACCAAGCGAGGGGAGAGGGTTGTATTTGTTTGGAAAAACATGTATTGGTGGTAAGCCCGGTCTCAATTTTCATGGCGTTTTTCTCTTGTTTTCAGGTGAGGTTTGTGACCGGGTATGGGGAAGAGGGTCGTACAGAGGACGAACTTTGCGTTTGGTGTGAAATTTTGAGAAATTTCTCTTTAACGGCAGGACGTGCTCTGCCTTCTACCTCTTGGGAAACGGGCAATTATGGCTGTAAAGACCGCAAAAGGCAACCTATTGATTCACATCCCTTAAACGTCACCTGCTCTGCGTCTACGGGCTCGCGCGGCGCTGGGTTGTTCGAATAATTCGCGAGATTTTTTGGGTGAAGGCACAGTACCTGTTGGTCGGATGGGCAGAGCCAGGCTATAAGTGTGTCCCTGAATGGTGCACTCTTTTTTCTGAGACTGAAACGAGGAGGGCGGCGCCAACGAAGAAGGCGCAGTGGTAAATCTGACTCCGCCTCTGTAACCAACATGGACGGGGCGAACAAAAAGGCGATTTCAAGAGACTCGGTCGTCTCGATATTCATTCAGCTTTTTTCGTCCCACAATATTTCTTTTTTCAGGTGAAATACTCCTTTGAAAGGACGCACCTTATTGAGTTGCTGAAGAGTTTGAAACAATCACTAATGCCACTGGTGAGTCTCTGTTCCGTTTCTTATGTAGAGAGTAAATGTACGGCTTTGCGCTTCGTTCGGTGATTGCGAAAGTCCGTCTGATTCATAGTCCGCGCTGGCCTTATAGGCGGAGACATGCAGTCATTGCCCATAAGGCCGCCCCATTGGTGCGCCCTCATTATCGCACTACGATGACTTGGCGTACCTATGGGGAAGGGCGGGATAGTTCGGCTTTTTCGGCTATACAGTCAGCACGGACTATGCTCTGAAGTGGTGACGAATAAAAGTAGTAACGAGAAAACATTAAGGTTTCCCTGAAACTCTCTGACAATTCTACACGTCGATTGGAGCACGTTATCAATCACTTGACGAACACCCACTTTTTGGACGCCCTTTTCAAGGTGAGAAGTTTTTCCCGCTACTGACTGGTTACAAGTTTCAGGTCTAAGGGGCGCCTGAGCTGCTCCAGCCTGTGAACCTCGAGAGGGTTCGTTTTTGAGCGTCACCCTTGACTGCCGAACAACTTGTTTTTGCTAGGCCGTTCTCAAGCACTGATAGTGCAGCGGCCTCCACGCAGATATGCGGAACCGCGATTTTGAGGGTGGCCATTTTATACAGAGCACGTCGTCCGTTGGGATCGGCAAGCGAGGGGGTCGTGTTTTGTCGCTGGAAAGGAGGGAACTTTTTGAAAAACCAGTTTTAGTTTGTTGAATTTTCTCCATTTTTTTCGGGTTTGAGAGGGCGCTAGTGAGCTTATATACCCCCTCTCCCATGGGAAAAACTACTGCGTCGGAAGGTTTTTGAAGGGAGATGCTGCGGAATGCGGCAGCGAAGTAGGAGGTAGGTGTAGAGAGAGAAAGGGAATGAAATTGGGGGTCATGATCTGCGAACTTCGCCTGCAGAGCTGGGACGTACGTTCAGTCGTACGTACGTTAGAAAGTACGTTTTTTCAGTGTTCCGATTCCAATCCAGCGCTCATCGTATGGAGGAGACAGTCAGGTATTGTGCCTCCCTTAACGCTACGCCCCTCGAAAGTATAAGGAGCAGAAGCGTACCAATGAGAAAGATGCAGCGTTCGACTGTCTCCGCCCATACGATCTGCGTAGATTGCGCTTTCATTCTTCAAGTAACATGTAAAGCCCCTACTAGCTAATCAGGGAACAGATTTTTCGGCGCAGTTCGGTTTGGTGGGGGCACCAAATGGTACCCAGCTTGCTTTATATTGGCCACCTCGTGAAAACCTGGAATCTCTTGTGACCAATGATACGCACGCGGTGGACCCTACCATGCACTTTCGCAGTTTCAGAGGAGTTCTCGGAAACGAGGTAACAAAAGGATTTGGCTGAAGTGCAAAACGTCCCCCCCCAACCCCAATAGCGCCGATTTTTCAAATGAAGAACTACTAATCCTCAACAGAACTACTTTGAAGGCTTTGTAGGTGGATGGCCCTCATGCGGAAGTGCTGGCCGAGTTTGTCGCCTCCATGGAAGACCTTCTGGAGTCGGAGGATTTGTAGTTGTTGTGTCCGAATCTCTGCACTGTACATTATTTTACGCACTCATGATGAGCCTGGTGACTGGTCATCTACTGTACGCCGACGCAACCGCCTGCGCCGATGCCATGCATTTTGACAGAAGTTGATCTTGTATATGTGATATATTCCTAACTTGCCATGACAGTCATGCTCAGGATATTCTACTGTAAATTGCATTATTTCGAAATAAAAATAAAGCATTAGTTTATTTTTCATGGCATTGAGCTATTATGCGATTAAACAATTCTGAAAAAAAAAAAAAAAAAAAAAAAAAAAAAAAAAAAAAAAAAAAAAAAAAATATGGGGGGCAGTTGTTTAGTACATTCTCTGTCGAAGGCCACATGACTTCGATCACGAGAAGGCGCACGAAGTGCGCTGATTCCGTAAGAGGCAGGCTTAGAACAGTAATGCCAAGGAACTGGAAAAAAAGTGGTCATGAACAATTTTTTCAACAAATGGAACACGAAAAAATAAAACAATAGAGCTTCAATAACCTTCCTAAATGACTCTCAGGGTCTTGTAATAAGATCCTGGCCGCGCTAAGCCGCTCCACCGTCTCTACTTCATGTATTTATCGTCTGTGCGCAAACGGCGAGGTGGCTAGGCGCCTACAGCTGCTATTATATAAACTATAAAGCCTCTAGGTGCTATCAAGCCTTGTTCTCAGCGTGGGCGTGTCAGTCAGAGCTGGGTTTGGCACATTGCCAGCTCGTTCTCCACCAACAGTTGAAGAGGGGTCAAGGGACAACGAGGGTGGATATATGGCTGGCGCTGAGCGCCGAACCCAACCCTCTTGTCACGCCCGAACATCCGCAACGAACAAGGGTGTAGGTGCACTCACGCGGAATTTCTGCCTACTGCAACATCAAATAGCATATAAAGTTTCCTGGATTAAACACTCGGTGCACGCTGCTCGATAGGGAGGAGTTGACGTGGCGCACGCACTGGAGTTCTCCCTGGTGTAGTCATCGCGGCCAAGATGATCATGGTCGAAGATGCCAATATGGGGGATACAGCTTAGGCCTGTCGCCGCCCATACAATCAGCGTAGGCCGCGCCTCTATAATCCGGAATGGATTGGGTATTCCTCAGGCCGTGCGCTTACATAACGATCGGTAAAGCTTCGATGGACTGGGAAGAGCGTCTAGGGCACATTTGAGCCTCGTCCACGGCTTCCGTGCCTCGTTTGACCGCATAGGCGGAACACAACAGCCAACCGCTGAGGGGGGGGGGGGGGGGGGGGGGGGGGGGGGGCGGGGGGGGGGGGGGGGGGAACTTGTACCTCATTGGTAGACCTCGCCTCCATCTTTCAGTGCACGCAGCAAGGGAAACAGCAGGTTGAATCTCTCCGGCTGTGCGACCATTACATGGCCAGATAGCGGCAAGTACCGTTTGAGGTCCATAATGAATGGAAGAACTATGAAGCCCAGCGAGTTACACACACCATGTCCCGGAGGTGGGTAGTGTCGGTTTGGGACAACTGTAGGTGTCTTTTCGAGCACAAAATGGAAGTCCTTCAGTGGAAATACCAACAAAGAAACCCATCCTATGCCGTGTTCAATGAGTTGGCTCTTGGAACGCCTGACCTGCACCCATACTGCCTATACCATGCTACACAACAACCCCTTGTCCTATCGCTAATCATCGAGCGTGTTGCCTGCAGCATTATAGGAAGATGTTCATAGGAAGATTCTTCGTGTATAGGTTGGAAAGAAAGTCCTGTCAGTGTTTTTTAGATAGCCTACAGTTTTTGATCTTCGAAGCTCGAACATGACGTAACATGCTAAGGTTGTAGAACATTCTCGAAGCTTTTCCACAAGAGGTATATCAAGGCTCCTGCTCTTCCCTGTGTTTATTTATGATGTCAGTTTCACTGGAGCGATCATCTTCTATGAGTGGCGCCGCGGCACTGGAGCGACGGCAGCGGCCCGTAACATCAACTGTGCATTGGGGAGGACACCACCACCGTCAGGACTGTCCACCGTTGGTTCGCTCGCTTCGCGAAAGGAGAGACGATCTTCCGAAGACAAACCTCGTCTGGGACGCCCTCGCGGCGTAGAAGATTCCGCCGTTCTCGAACCTGTCAGAGAGGATCCAGAGGCTACCACGCGCAGTATTGCGACAAGGCTAGGGTGTAGCCATACAACAGCTCTAAGCCGCCTTCAGGCCCTTGGCTACAGAAAAGTCCTCCACGGCTGATGATACTTCATGCTCTAACAGAAATGGGACCGCGGTATACCAGGGTGAACATCTGTTCGATCCCTCCTACTACACCGTAACCGGGGAGTTTCTGGAAGATATTGTGACTGGAGATGAAAGCTGGGTCCTCTATGATTCCAACCTACGTCGTGCCATGTGGCTCCCTCGAGGAGAAGACCCGCCTACGCAACCAGATCGAACCTGCACTCCAAGAAGGTCCTCCTCTGCTGCTTCTGGGATTCGAAGGGCATGCTGCACCACGAGCTGCTTCCGCAAGGGCATACGGTTACCGCTACCGTTTACGCGCGGCCCCAAATTCCAGAAACTGCGGCGCAAAGCCTCTTCAAGAAAAGGGCCGAGACGAGCTTCGGTGGGCACCTCCCCATGATAACGCCCAAACGCATATGTTGGCTAAAGAGACCGCGCCAAACATTGAGGGCTAGGCCTGGGAGAACCGTTCATCCACCACATGTCTGCCAGAACTAGCCCCCTCCCGACTACTGACTCATGTTCCGCTCCCTCACTTTCCTAGGTAAGAAAACCTTCAGCGAATTTGATGGCATCAATCGAGAAGTTGCCTACTTCTTCGACTCGCAGCCTCCTCAGTTCTGGGAGAAGGGGATAGCTGAGTTGCCCATTAGGTGGAGCACTGTAGTGGCTAACAATGGCGATTATATTATTGATTAGTTTTTATTTCATGTTGAGTTAGAAAATAAAAAAGAAAAAAATCACAACAGTGACAGGACTTTCTTTCCAACCTATATTTATCGAACAAAGGATTGGGGCAATTGAGCATTGCTACCCATAAAACTTATGTGCGGGCTACCCTCTTGCCCATTTTGGCATTGTACGCGCATTATGTAGGCTTACCCTCTTCCCATTTTGCATTGTAGTGCTGTACGAATGCTAATTTGACTTAATGTGAAGTGTGAGCGCTGAGCAAGAAACCTCTAATCCTCTGTTGACTAGTACTCGACAGTAAGAAAAACCGGAATCCAACAAGTGAGTAAATAAATATCCCACGCGGACCCCGATTATTGACGTAAAGAACGAATTCCCATTTCTCGATTAATCACCACAAAAGCAAACTATCCCCATCATATTGATGTTTAGCCCTTTCCTTTGAAGAACGCTTGCAAGGAATGCATTCTTACAACAGAACAGGATTTTTCTTCAACATACAATTTACCACGCCAAATATCATGGCACGCCTCATTGGACAGATGGAAAGGTAAATAAAAAAGCAAAAACGTCCCAACGGAAGCATTGATCACTTTTGCGCAAATAGTATAAATAGTTATTTTAGGTACTATACATAGGAGCCTAATGAATCAAAGTTCACGCCTTCGCAAGAGGCCGGCATCGCTGCGCTCCTATTTGGCTCTCGGAACCCGACGGATGTGGTATACTGGCGAACGGAACCGCTCTCCAAGCTGACGCGGTGAGGGCTTGAGTTAGACCAATCCCACCAAACAGAGGCAATGGTTTAATTTTTCCGAGTTGCTCACCTTGTCCAGGTGGATGAGGCCACGTGCTATGTGCTATGACTGCGACTAGTCCCCCTCTCTCCCCTCACCCCAAAAATGCAGTTCCAAAGGGCGAATCGCATTCACCCATTTGAATGAAGTTTGATCAGCGCTATTGTTGGATGCCTTACTATCAACATTCCCAGGGAAGGGACGTGGATCTCGGCCTATATTCTACCTCTCTATCCCCTACCACCACCCCCCCTCACACCCTCTCCTAGCTTTTGAATCAAGGATTGAGCTCGTTCGCCTCACTACCTCGATATCGCTAAATGCTGGTAGGACCGAGAAGGACGTCGCGTTGTGACGATTGGGGCTACTTATCACCATGAAAGTAGCTAGCAGGTCGCCTCTGCGAGGCCATCTATGGTTCACATCCTTCCCAGGTCAACTAAACATTATGGCACTTGAGATCTTTTCATGAACTTGCTCCCTGTCGTCCATATTCCGCCAACCCTAGCTCTCCAATGAACTCCCAGGGCTGGCGGAATAGCAATCTGTCCGAGGCTAGGGACGAAAAAACCATTAGTATTTTGCAGTAGTTTTCTTACCCACGTCTGTTTTTCTCTAAGTGTTCAGGAGGGTAAGAACCCGACTTGTACATCTGCTGCCCGGATACGGCTCTAAGGTAAGTGGTGACATGGTGCGTTCCAAAAAGAGGCGGATCAACGCAGGAGGTTTCAGCCTTTTGTACTGCAATCAAATTCCGATGAGCCCTTGTGATCTAGTAGAGCTCACTCACCGATGCAAAGGCCCACTCGTAAATGAGTCGGCAGCCATTATGAAGGAAACCGTCGGATCCTATGTCGTTGCAGTTATTCGACCAGCTTCCAGTGGAATAGTAAGCTTCCACGATGGCCAAGACGATGAAAGAAAAGCAGCAGGTGGAAGAGAACACCACATCCTAAAAGGCCTTATACTGCACTATTGCAAGAATCAGGGTACAGCATCGTTGTGTGAAACACTTGGAGGGGTGAGACGTTGTAAGGAGAGGGGGAGGGGTCGTATGTGCCTCCGAGAGAAATTTGCCCGCATTGGGAGAAAATTTTTTCCGGTTGTTGACTTTTGCGGTTTTTCCCGTTTCAAACTGACTATCCCCCCTCCGCTGGATGGAAAAGTTTCCGTATCCAAGATTTTCGGAAAATTTTTGGGTGAAAAACTGAAAAATGTGGGAAATCGGAAAACTGGTAGAAAGCTGGGAACTTGTAGGAAAGTGGAGGGTAGGTGCTGGGAAGGGGGGAGGAACTCGTGCCTTTGT